CCCCCAGCTGGTTGGGAACCCACAATAAGGAGGATTTTAGCCAATCACAGGCCAGAAGGATCAAACGGGGTCAAATTCTAGTTCAGGACATATGATCAGCTGCAGAGCATGCCTTCCATATACACCACACCCTCTCAAGCAGCCTGACCCCATCCCAAAGTCCAAGCCGCAAAATGACTTCAGAAAAAAGGCTCAGAAAAAGCAAGCCCAAAATAGTAAACTTTTGCAAAGGGAGATTCTATCTGGAATGGAATCAGTTGTGGCTCTGCTGCAAGTCTAGTCTGGCTCTATCATAAATAATGCTTGTGGCATCAGAGCATAGGCAAAATAAATCAGCTCCATGCTTGTCCAACATCATCTCACTCTGCATTGCCCCCATCCCCCTCTCACTGAGCTAGATAAATTCAGCACAAGTGTCACATCACTGACTCCAGATATAATAAATACATAATTGGTTCAGTGCCTTTAAAAGCACATGAAGATGCAACTGGATTTGTGCTTTTTTTAAATCCTTTTGGCTGGAGTAAAGATTTGTAGAGGGTCTTTCTATTAACAAAAATGTTGTTTGTTCTTCTTTGACTCAAAACTATCAAAATGGCTTCCCTGGTTTTGCTGGAGGATTCACTGCAGTCCCAGATGCAGCTCTCTCAGACCTTAACTGAAGGAGTGCAGTTTTTTCTGCACAAACATCTTTATGATTAACTGTTTATTAGTTGTTTGAGTTGAATGGGTGTTAACAAATGTTAATGTTTCTACCACCCGAATAAAAGCTTCCTATTCTTCGAGCACCCACTTTTCCCTTCCTAGATCCCGCAGCAGCATCTGAACTCTACTAGGTTCTCCAGGCCAGAGGATCTTAGAGATTTCCAAGTACACAAAACCTGGCTTTCTAATGTGAAAAAATAAGGGAAAGGTCCAGAGAGAGGAGCAGCATCTTCCAAGACTGCTTTATCAATCACCAAAAAAGGTATAAACCTATGCTCCCCCTTCCCTCCACTGCATCAAACCCTGGTTCTGACTATCTGTCCCACTGGCTTCATCCCCCTCCCCTGGTGAATGCCAGCTCTTAGTTTTCACTCTTTTTTTTTTTTTGGTATTAAAAAAAAAAAAGGCAATTCTTGTTGTAAAGAACTCAGAAAGACCACAAATAAAGCAGGATGTCTGTGACACTATGGAATCTTATTTGAAGTCTCTGGGCACCTATACGAGTGCAGCAAGGCAGCTCTGACGCACCGTAATTACAGCGTGTCAGAGCAGACTCCATTAATCGCTCCAGCAGACTCCAGCATATGTGTATCAGTGTCCCCATGTTGAAAAATGGCAGCAGGAGCTGCTTTTATTAAAGCACCCCATCCCCCACGCCCAGAGCACATATATAAGCACCCTCTGGAGTTCTCACGAATGGATCTGTGTCATCCTGGCGCGAAGTGGCCAGTGGTGTCCCTCAGGGATCCATGCTTAGACTGGTGCTTTTTAACATCTTTATCAATGATTTGGATGGGGGAGTGAAAAGCTTGCTGGCCAAGTTCATGGATGACACCAAGTTATGGGGCAGCGTGGTCACGCCAGAAGATAGGTTGCAGATACAGGCGGACCTGGACAAGCTACAGGGTTGGGCAGACTGGAACCAGATGAAGTGTAAGGTGCTCCATCTGAGGGCAAACAACACTCAACATACATACAGGCTCGGTGGGGACAGCTTGACTTGCACCACGGCCGAAAAGGACCCAGGGGTAATGATCAACAATTGCATGAATATGAGCCGTGAGTCCGATGCGGTGGCTAGTAGGGCAAAAAACACGCTGGCATGCATCAACCAATGCATCTCATGTAAAACTAAGGAAGTGATACTCCTGCCGTACTCACCACTGGTGAGACTGCAGTTGGAGTACTGTGTCCAGTTCTGGGTGCCGCACTTCAATAAGGACGTGGAAAAACTTGACAGGGTCCAGAAAAGAGCCACCCGTATGATCAGGGACTTGCAAGACAAGCCATACGAGGAAAGGCTGAGGGACTGGGCCTCTTTAGTCTAAAGAAGTGAAGGTTGAAAGGGGACTTGATAGCAGCTTACCAGTATATCAGAGGAGTGCATCAGAAGCTCAGTGAACAACTGTTCACTAGAGCACCCCTGGGGAAGACCAGGGCCAATGGATGCAAACTCCTGAAAGGCCGCTTCAGGCTTAATACCAGGAAAAACTCCTTCACAGTCTGGGTGTCCAGACTGTGGAATAAACGCCATCCACAGGTGGTGCAGTCACCTACCCTGGAGGTTTTCAAGAGAAGCCTGGACAGTCAACTTGCTGAGATCACTTGATCCCAGTTATCTTCCTGCCTAGAGCAGTGGGGCTGGACCCAATGATCTGTAAGGTCCCTTCCAGCCCCTAACAATCTATGAATAATGTTTTGGTGTTTGTACACCTAACAGTGCTAACTCTGAGTGGCACCCTTAAAAAGATCTCATGGCACCCAAGGGTGTGGTGGCATCCCAGCTGTGAATCACTGATCTAGACTCAAATGCCAACTAGGTGGTGAATGCATTCTAGGACAGAGGTAAGCAATCCCCGGCATGGGTGCCAAAGCGTGGCACACGTAGGCATTTTGCTTGGCTTGCAAGCTGCTAGGGACCCAATCCTTGTTGTGGAAGTGCAGTACTGGCCCCTTCCCTACCATCCACCTTGAGGCAAGCGTACGCCCACTAGCAACAGGGCAGGCCAGGGCTCTGCAAATCCCAGTGCAGCTGCTTGCACCCTCCCTGATGACTGCTGCAAGCAAGCCAGGATCTGTGGCAGGGGCCTGCCCAAGCCTAGGACAGCTGTGGCAGAGAGCCAGGAGGCTGCAAGCAGCTGCCCTGGTGTCTGCAGAGCCCCAGCCTGGCTCATTGATAGTGGCGGGTGCACACACACCTCAGGGTGTACAGTGGGGAAGGGGCCAAGGCTGCGCTGCCACAACAAAGATCAAGCCTCTCATGGCTCCCCTGCCATCCACCCCTGGCATGCCAACACCTTACAAGTCAAGGTTGCAAATGTTTCTGACACTGCCCAAAAACGGTGCTGACCCCTTGTTCTAGGACATTAGCTACTGTTCCATCAAAGTACTTGCTGTGTTTTACACTCAATTAATGACATACCTGACACCATTTGATACGGGCTGTCCTGCGCTTGGGCCTCCTGTGCTGGGGCCTCCCATGCTGGCAGGCTGAGGCAACGCCCATGCACCATGTGTGTTCAGTCTTGGGGTTGACCTTGATCCAGACAAGGCTGGCTTGTTATAGGGCACGAAGCCAAGACCGGAAGAACTTACTGCTGTTGTCCTACTTGAAACCTGAGGTACAGCCGAGGAGCTGGGTAGGTTTATGGAGTGCCGATACCGCGTAGTGATAGGGCCAGTCCCACTATTCAACAAACACTGCTGGCAAGAGCAAGCCATGCTCGTGTGAAGAGGTCCTGTGGCAGCAGTCACTGGATAAGGAGTGTCCAAGCGCCTCTGGATGCTTCGGCGGTAGAGGGTGGTCTTGTTGGTCTGGACTTGGGATATTAAATTGATGTCATAGTTGTAGCCTAGGGGCCCAAGGTCCACATGCTGATGGCCACTGGAATAGGCTTGTTCCAGGAACACAGAGACATTCATTTCATATGGCGACCAGCCACCCTCATCGTTTTGCCACTCCCAGATAACCCCCTGCCCAGCAGCAGAGTCCTGAGGAAAGAGGTGTCTACGGACTGCTCGCATTGTCCCTGGATTAGGAGAAAACACAGATAAAGCCAGAAGGTAAGTAAAGAAAAACTTGAAGACTTGGCAACATAGTAACTACGGAGACTTGACATAAGCACCCAAGGGAATTAAGCACCCAAACCCTATTAGCTGTCTTGGGAAACTGAATCTACCATGCCACCAAAAATCATGATGAAGGACAATGAGACTTTTTTTTGACTGACAAAAGGCTGCCACCAAAGACTTGCTATGCGCATCAGATGTGGTCTTCTAAAGGTTGATTTATATAGAGATATGCACTGAAATGACCTCTTGGCTCAGCATAGCAAAGCAGTGTTTTTTAGTTTTATATGTTGTCAACAGAGAGTTAAAGGGAGAGGCAGAGGCAAACCTGGGAAAGCAGCTTTGGAAAGTCTAGAGAAAGCAGCTGTTCATACAAAGGGAAGAGGAACAAAACCAGAGCTGCTGGCTAAAGGGCTATTTTAAAACAGCAGTGGGAGCTCAGAGCTGAAATCTGCTCAGGTACCAAAAGCTCTGCTTCCTGGTTGCTCTCTGCAGCTGGGAACAGACAGGATTAAGCTGAGAAGCACATTCCTCTTTGTTACTTTTACCTTTTTCTAGGCATTAATTAGGGGAAAGCAGCCAACAAACAGGAGAAATTAAACCTTGACAAAATGTCTGCCAGCACCAGAGACCAAACAGCTTCTTCTCCTCCTGGGAAAATCTCCAGCTCTTTTAGGAGATCAAGGCATGAAAATCTCTAATGCTAGTGGGTGTGAGGATGCAAACAGATGAAGACCAGGAATGTGTCAAAAAAGGATCCAGGAAGGAAGCTTTTCACAGCATCTAGCATGTACACAGGAACACTTCTAAAAGCATCATGGTAGCTCAGGACCCCAAGTTTCATTATCCAAGGTGACTTGAGACTTGTTTATGCAGCAGTCAGAGAAATGTCGGCAGTCTCCATCTGCACAGAAGTATCATATCGTTGCCTGCAGCTAATGGAGTCGAGCATGAAATTTAATTATACTTAACACCCAGCAAGTGTATTTAGGAGGAGCAAGATAAATTAGCCTACAATGAGCACCATGCTGCTGTATCTAGGCTACTACTAAACAAACTTACTTAAGCTAAGTCAGGTATCTGCACTACCATGCAGCCCAGATATATCTTAAGGCACTTAGATGATGAAAGTCACTGGAACTTAGGATGAAATTACACCATATACTTAAACCATACTAACGGCACTTAATATGCGAAGGTCCATGTTTTAAAGCTCACTGACTCATACTAAGTGTCCTTGAGTAACTCAAGTTATGCTGCTTCAGACAAAAGTTAACTCTGAGCCATGCTACCTAGCTCATGTTAGGGCAACTTCAGGCTGCTCCACAGAGATAGAATAAGCAATTTGTAGTCCTCCAGCACCACTCTGAACTCTTGCCTGCCACCCCTGACCAGGGATAGAGCCTAGGATTGGTATCCTGGATCCTAACCATCGCCCCCTCTTAATGGTAAGTCAAAGTTGCACAGGGAAGAAATGGTATTGACCAGGGGTGCTCAACCTCCAGCCTGTGGGAAATCCAGGCTGTGATGCTGTGTCAACTGGCCTGTGGGACCTCCCCTTGGTTTGGATATTTGGCAGATGGGGAGTGATGCCAAATCTCCAGACACGTGGGGAGCCCCAAGCCCTGTGCACTGGATCCAGCATCCAGTCCCAGCATGCAGGGCCAAGAGGAGGTGGCACCAGGCCTCAGCGCTCGCTCCCCACATGGGTGGGCTGTTAGGGGGAGGCTCTGGGCCCCCTGAAACCAATCTTAACATGCAGGAGGCAGGATGGGGTTATGCTAGGCCCCAAAGCCCAAATCTGGCCTGCAGACAGGCCCCATACCACTCATCTGGCCCATGGAGCCATAAGGTTGAGCACCTGTGGTATTAACACTTAACATGCCACTGTTCACAGCATGTTCTAACTTAATCCTTGCTTAACAAGCCATGGATTTAGTATGGTTTACGTGTAACAGAGGGCATTTTTACATATGTTCCTGATACAGTGCTGGGAGCAGGTGTATTAGTGGTGCAGCATGCGTCAGTGCTGAGAAAATACTGGCAGTGCGTTGAACTAAAGTACACTGAACATGTTTTAGTTTAAAGCACACCACCGCCATTTTCTCAGTGCTGATGTGCACTATGCCACTAATACACACGATGCTCGTCAATTTATGTGCTCGAGCAGACTCAATCAAGTCTGCTCTGATGCGTTGTTGGAGCAGACTCCCCACGCATGTGCAAGTGCCGTAATTTCTTGTTTAGACTCAGGTCCCAGTGACACTCAGTTTCCTCCTGTGATCTACTTTGAAGACAGAATTTGGTGCTTTTGAAAATATTACTTTTAGTTGCATGGGCAAGATGCGTCTTCCTATTTTTTACTGTACTTTGTTGATTTTGGGATAGTAATTGTTTGGTTATAATATACCACCAAGACCCTGCACAGAAATGCAGAACTGTTTTGGTGACTCATGGTAACCAGACCAAGTCGTTCCAATTTATTCTTCAAAGCTGGAACATAAAGTCTGAGAAACTCTTGCAGGTAAAAGAGCTAAAAGAATGGGAATAAGAGGGTTTACATGAAATTGCCCACAATACTCAAGCTAAAGTTTGCATGTGTAAATACAGCAGACTTCACTTATATGTATACTGAAGAACATGGCTTCACTGCATTACAAGATGCTGGCCCCAGGTCCTTGCCTACTCCTCACACTGTAGCAAACACTGGCTATCTGCATATCAGCTAAGTGTTAGGCAAGAGCACAGCCACACTGTTTACAATACTTTGTAACCCAAGATACTCTATTTACTGGTAACTGCATCATTGGTAATATTGACTAGGAGCCATCAAATTCAAAGCTTCTACAGCAACCTTGAACTAACTAGGTCCAGGCAATTTCAAATGGTTATTTGGAGGTGCTCTGAGAAACAAAGAGCCTTAACAAGGCAGGAAAAGGCAGTTTCTCTATTTAACGAACAGTGCTTACGTTGAAAGGGTCCAAATGCACATCCTTTCTTCAGTCCACAGGCTAAAACAACTATATATATAGTTATATCACAAAGCCCTGACTTCAAATAATGGGGGTGGGGAGGGCACTCACAGATCCACAGTCCCTTTCATTCAAGAAATCAGAGATATTTCCTTTGGCATCTCCAGATGAATAATGGTGGATGTCAGGGCAAGTATTACACTGGAGATAGATCACACTAGAGTGACTAGAGCTATCCAGTTCAATACTCTCCCTACATAGCATCCACTTCTGCCCCTGGAGGAGACAGGCTACTGGGCTAGATGGACCATTTGTCTGACTTATGTTCTTAAGAATTTATGTTCTTTTCAACCATTAAACCTCATGACTCCTACCTCCCCCACCCCCAACCAGTAGACAGGTATTCTATCCCTTCTATAGATGGGGAAACTTAGACATGAATCAATGAAAGCAAGACTTTTCAGTGAATCAAAAACAGGACTAGACCAGAAAGAACTTAGGGGTCCTCTAGTGCTCCAACTCCTGAATGACACTGCCCAGCACCAACCTCACTAACTTGGGGGGGAGGAATGGGATTCCCAGATACTTTAAAACACTGTCCCCAACAAACAGGACCTCAGGAACACATCTGATCATAGCTCTGTGCTCAGGACCACATATTTTAGATGCTAGATATATGGCTTTGATGGCATAGTAAAATACTGCTTCAAAAGGCAGTACCTCCTCAGTAGAAAAGTATTCAAGGAGCACTGTTTACTTTACAATCCTGAGAGTGCTGAAACTCTCAGCAGCACCAGAAAATGTGGGAAATGCTACTTAAAAGCTACTGAAAGCAGAGGAGTTATGGCAACTTCTCCACTGCTGGACCCAAAACCAGGCTGGACTCTGCTAAGTCAAACTTCGGGCTTAGGAATTCTTGTGGGCCAGATTCTTAGGTGGCATAAAGCAGTGTAAATGAGCTCAGGGGACTGATACCAGCTGGGAAGAAAAAAAAAAAAAAAAAA